AGGCTGTTCGGGAGTTCATCTCCTCCCAACAGTTTGCCGAGACGTCACCCCCTCAACCAGCCCATCCTTCAGGTCGGCTTCACGCGAGCCCTGGACCAGGTGAAAGGCCTCAATCTTTCCGGTTTCAACTTGGCTGACTTCAAGGATTACAATCCCACAGCTGAGAGAAGCTAGACTGGCTCTTCAACCGGTACTACAAGGGGCATGTCCTGAAGGACCTGGTGGGCCGGACCGACGTAGGAGCTGAGCTGGCGCAGCAGGTTCCCTTGGAGGAAACACCCCCAGCAGGGCTCCCGGAAGGAGCCAGTAGGCTAGGCTGGGCTTTCTCTTTTTTTTTTTGGTAGGCCTTTGTAATAGGTAGGTTTGGAATGTATATATGAAATAGCATTCAATGAAAACTGCCTGATTCTGACTCTCAATTTTTGCTTGCGTCGAACTCTAGCAATCAAAGCCACGTGCCGACCTCCCGGGTCGAGCACCAAACGAATCCACCAAGCAGTGCGCCGCCTTTTGGGCCGAGCATCTGTTACATTTGTAAGCACACACTAAGTTGTCAAAGACCATCAGACTAAGTATCAACAAACTTCATAAAACTGCTTCCCGTCATGCCGACTCCTGGGTCGAGCCTCAAACTTTAAAGCATCGCACCGACTTCCGGAGTCTGCGTCAAATTTCCAGGATAGTCCTGCAGACCTCCTGGGCCGAACAAACCGATCCACCAAGGCGATGTGCCGGCCTCTTGGGCGAGCACCCTCCGAACTCCAAACTGGCAACCACTCAACTCAAACAACTTACCAGAGCGACGTGCCGACCTCTGGGCGAACACCAGACTCTAAACTTTTGAGCCCTGCGGCCTCCTGGGCCGAGCGTCAAGCTCTGCTCCTAACAGCTAAATTTTCAGGGTACCTCCAAGCAGCCATGCCGACCTCCTGGTCGAGTGTTGAACTTTCAGACCTCCAGTTTTTAAGCTGTGCCAACCTCCTAGGGTCGAGCATCCACTCTCAGACTAAAAAGTTTCAGACCGTGCCAACCTCTTGGGGTCAAGCATTCACTTTCAAACTTTAAAGGCCCTCCATCCATTACCATCTATCCCTAGCCCCCCACTAGGACACTTAGCATTGTCTGAGTGTGCTAGTGTAGGATTTAAACTTAAAAATTAAACGCATTGATAACGATGCACTTAAAACTTGAAAGTCAAACATTTTTTTAATGATGAACTTGTATGTGTATTCCGAAGAACAGACAGTAAGACATCCTGACCTAATCTACCCTACGAACAATGCAGATTCAAGAAGTGCCAAGCGGGGTACCTCTGCTCCATCCAATTTTGCGAGCTTGCAGTAGCTAGCTCGGCTCGCTTCCAGGACCTTGTACGGCCCCTCCCAATTCGGGTCGAGCTTGTTGGGCTATGAGCTTGCTGACCGAGTTCTTTCTTAAGACGAGTCTCCCGCTGTACTGTATGTTCCTCACTTTGGCGTTATGATAGCGGGCGAGCTGGCTTTTGTACTTAGCCATCCGTATCGCCGTTCCTCACGCTTGGCCTCCAGCATGTCCAAATTACACCTCAGCTCTTCTTCATTGGCCGGCACAACGAAGTTCTGTGTCCGAGGCGAGGGGAGACCGATCTCCGCAGGTACCACGCCTCTACCATAAGTCAGGAGAACGGGGTCTCGTGGGTGACCCTCCTGGGTGTAGTCGGTAAGCCCAGAGGACACTAGGGAGCTCGTCTAGCCAGTTAGACCGGACAGTTCCACCCTAGTCTTTAGTCCTTGCAGAATAGTTCGCGTTAGCGTTTTTCACCTGGTTATTGGCTGGGGGTGGCCGACCGATGTGAAATGTTGGTTATCCCGAACTCGGCCACCAGCTCTTGAAGGGTTTCGACGAACTGGCGCCCATTGTCGGATATCAAGACATGCGGAATCCCGAAACAGCAGACTATGTTCTTCCAGAAGAATTTCTGAACTGCCTTTCCAGAAATATGGCCAGTGCTTCGCTTCCATCCACTTTATGAAGTAGTCGATGGCACCACAAGATGTTCGTATCTCCCCGGGGCTCGAGGGAAAGGTCCCCAGGAGTCTATCCCCCACTGAGCAAAGAGCCAAGGGCTATGGATGGGATCCATTTCCCGAGCGGGCTGGTGGCGCAGCGGGGCATGTACCTGGCAAGCTCGGCATTTCTAAACTAGAGTCGCGGCATCTCGAAACACTGAGGACCAATAGTAGCCTAGGAGTAGGCACTTTTTGGCCAGAATTTGAGATCCCACATGTGCCGCGCATAGGCCTTCATGAACTTTTCGGAGGACATAGTCGCCCTCTTCAGGAGTTACGAACTTTAGCCAGGGAGAGAGATACGACCTCCTGTAGAGGGTCCCCCCAGCGTAGGCGTATCTAGCAGCTCTGAGTTGGAGTCGGCGAGCTTCCGTTTTGTCCCCGGGAAGGACACCCGAGCTGAGGTAGTTCACGAGGGGAGTCATCCAGGTGGCCGAGCTTTCTATAGCCAAGACCTGGACCTGGTTAATACTCTTTTGCTTGACGACCTCTACCAAGACTTCCTTGCTCAGGTGGGCAAACGAGGAGGACGCTAGTTTTGACAGGGCGTCCGCGCGCATGTTCTGGGATCTCGGCACCCGCTCGATTTCGAAAGTATCGAACAGGGCTATTGCCTCTCGAACTTTAGCCAGGTATTTCTTCATGACGTCCTCCTTGGTTTCGTACTCCCCGTGAACCTGGTGGACTACGAGCTGAGAGTCGCTCCGGACTCTGATCGCGGTTATACCCATTTGGTGGGCTATTCGCAATCCTGTTAATAGGGTCTCGTACTAAGCCTCATTGTTGGATGCCGGAATGTCGAATCTGAGCGCGTAAGTCAGCTCTTCCCCGGTGGGCGAGGTGAGCAGCAGGCCGGCACCGCTCCCTTCCTTGCTCGAGACCTTGTTTATGAATAATACCCACGGCTCTTCCGGCTGTACCCCAGTGGGCGGAGAGCTCGGCTCAGCCACGGACAAACTTGTCCCCTCGGCAAGGAAGTCTGCCAAGGCCTGAGTTTTGATAGCAGTGCGAGGCTGGTAACCGATGTCGTGCTCGGCCAACTCGATGACCCACTTGGTCATTCTGCCCCAGACCTCAGGTTTTGTGAGTATCTGCCGTAAGGGTTGATCCGTCATGACAACAATGCTATGGGCCTGGAAGTAAGGTCGAAGCTTCCGAGCAGCGTGCACTAAGGCAAGGACCAATTTTTCGGCCGGTGTGTATCACGTTTCCGGCCCTTGTAAAACACGGCTAATATAGTATATTGGCCTATGAGCCCCCCCCGTCCTCCCGCACCAACACCGCGCTAACGGTCTCGTTGCAAGCAGACAAGTATAAGAACAGGGTTTCTCCCTACTTCGGGGCGGTCAGAGCAGGTAACTCAGCCAGGTATGCCTTGAGGTCGGTGAAGGCTTTCTGGCATTTCTCAATCCATTGAAAGTCCTTAGGTGCTTTCAGAATACGAAAGAAAGGTAGCCCCCTTACCGCGGAGCGCGAGAGGAATCTATTCAAGGCGGGCATCCTTCCGTGAACTGTTGGACCTCCTTGACGCTCCTCAGAGGGGCCATTTCCATGATGGCCTGGAGCTTATCCGGGCTGGCCGGATCCCCGAAGGTACATTTTTTCGGGTTCAGCCGCATCCGATTTTCCCGTAGAATGTTCAGGATTTCCCTCAAGTCGGGAACGAGCTGCCGGTCAGTTCGACTCTTGACGATCATGTCATCCACGTAGACCTCCATGTTCCTGCCGATCTGCTTCTGGAACAACTTGTTGACCAAACACTGGTAGGTAGCCCGGCATTTTTTAAGCCAAACGGCATTGTCCGGTAGCAATGAGTCCCTTCCTCGTGATGAAGGAAGTCTTTTTCCGGTCCTCCTCGCCATCTCTATCTGGTGCTACCCCTTGAAGCATCCAGGAAACAGAAAACGTTAAAACCCACAGTAGAGTCCACTAACCTGTCGATCCTCAGCAAGGGGAAGCAGTCCTTAGGGCAGGCCTAATTGAGGTCTATGAAGTCCAGGCACATCCTCCAGGACTGGTCCTCTTTCTTTACCAGGACGGGGTTGGCTAGTCAGGTCGGGTAGTATATCTCCAGGATGATCTTGGAGTCCAGCAGCTTGCTGACCTTCTTCTTGATCACCTCGTTCCGCTCCGGGGCGAAGCTTCTCTTCTTCTGCTTCACTGGCTTGAAGCGGGGGTCTATGTTGAGGTGGTGGACGGCCAGATCAGTCGAAATCCCGGGCATGTCTTCAACCGTCCAGGCGAAGACCTAGGAATATTTCCTCAGCAGGGCTCTCAAACCCTCCTTCTCCTCAGAAGGTGGCAGCGCACCGATGCGAAGGACCTGGTCGGGCCGGTCCTCCCCAAGGGGAACTCCTCGATCTCGTCCTGGGTGCCCAACTGTCGGGCCTCCTCCCCAGGATGTAGGGCTCCAAGCTGGTCGTCTGGGCGACCACCTTCTCATGTCCCCGGAGCATGACCAAGTAGCAAGCTCTAGCCACTTCTGAATCTCCACGCACCTCGGCTATCCCTCCCGGGGTGGGAAATTTGACGCTGAGGTGGAGCGAAGAGGGAATAGCCCGGAGGGCGTTCAGGGCGGGCCGACCCAAGAATACATTGTACGGAGATTGCTGCTTGACTACCACGAAATTAACAGGGATGGTCCGGCATTTGGGAGCCTGCCCTACCGTGACTATCAGAGTAATCATCCTCTCTGGGCAGATAGGAGGTCCAGTGAAGCCCACTAGGGGTGTCCGAACTGGGGTTAGCTGTCCTTCCTCCAAACCGAGCTCCATGAACACCCGGTAAAACAGGATGTCCACTACGCTCCCCTGGTCAACGTACACTTTCTTCATCCGATAGTTATTGGTCACGACGTCTACCACGATGGCTTCGTGATTTCCAGACGCCAGGGGAACCGCATCCCTTGGTCCGAAGGTGATCTTCTCATCCATGCGCAAGCGTTTCAGGGAATCATCCCCCTCGGGGGGAGGCCGCCTGTTCTTTCGAGCTGCATGGCTGTCCCCCTGTGGGGCCCCCAGCGATAGTGTTTATCACCCTCGCTAAGTTCTGCGCGTTCTGGTCGGGGGAATGGCCCCGAGGAACGTCACGTCGCTCAGGGCGGTCACGACACTGGCCCTCGCCCCTGTCTCCGCGGTAGGTGCGTCCTGGCTCCTGGCCTGGTCGACCTTGCCGCACAAATCGTCCCAGGAAGCCGCGCTGAATCAGATCTTCAATCTCCTTTCGCAGGGTCCAGCATCCCTCCGTATCATGCCCAACATCACGGTTGAAGGCACAGTACCGGTCCTGGTTCCTTTTGTTCCTGGGGTCCCCATCTTGGGTGGCCGTTCCCCTAGGCCCTCTGCCTCCATGACGGCCAGGATCTGGGCCCTGGGCCGAGTCAGGGGGTGTAGCCTTTCTCCGGGAGTGGCGGCGGAGCGGGGGCTTTCTCTTTCGAAAGCCGGTCAAAGACGTTCTTCTTGGTCGGGCCATCCTTGTTCTCGAGGGGTTTTTCCCGTCCCCTCCGGTCTCCGAGCTCCCAATCTGACTCTCTCTTCAGGCGGGCAGCCTCCTCTGCATTGGCGGCCGCGAGAGCCCTGGTCAAGAGCTCCTCCAGGTTTCCAGGAGACTTCTCGGCGAGTGAGTAAGAAGAGCTCCTCCGTTCGGAGGCCGTTCGTGAATGCGGCCATGACCACCTTTTCATCCTTGTCCCTGATCTGCCAGCTCACCGTGTTGAAGCGGGTCATGAAATTCCTCAAGAACTCGTCCAGCTTCTGCCTGATGGCCATCAGGTGAGCCGCATTTTTCGAGTAAGTCTTCGAGGAGACAAACTGGGCGGCGAACTGTCTGGCTAGTTCGGGGAAACTCCGGATGGACCCCGGTGCCAGACCCTGGAACCAAAGCCGAGCCTTTCCCTTCAGAAACGTGGGAAAGGTCTTGCAGCGGATTTTATCCGCGGCTGTTTGCAGACGCATGTGAGTCAGGAAGACCGAGAGGTGGTCTTCCGGGTCGGTTGAGGCGTCATACATCTCAATGTTCGGATTTTGAACTTCTGGGGCAGTGGGTAGTCCTCTATCTCCCGAGTAAAGGGCGAGGTGGTGTAGTTGTCCTCGTACAACCGTGGCCGCAAGATCTGCTCGAGTTCATCTCGAACTGGCTTCCACTGGGGAAGGTCGCGCGGTCGGCTTTTGACAGAGCGGTCGGGGAGCGCTCAGGCTCGCCCCGCGCGGGCTTCTGCGGTGAGGGGTTTCTCGGTCTAGCGGCCGTTTCCTTCTGGGGCTGGTCCCGTGACTCATCCTCCGAGGGGTCGGGAGGTGATTCCTTCTCCTTCCCCTTCGCCTTGGAGGTCTGCGCACCCTCAGCTTCGCCTTCCTCCCTGCCGAATCATATCCTCCAGCATGGGGAGGTTCTCCGTCACGAATTGAAGGATCTGTTGTCTCTGCTCTCCTGAGAGGGATGAGCCTCCGGCGCCCAGAGCCGCCTCGGTCTCCTTTCGCTGGGACCCTCACCAGCCCCGGGATCGGTGGTTTCCATAGTTCGCTTAGAATGAGTTCTCGCCATCAACAGCACTGCACTTACCTTTCGGTTCCCACAGACGGCGCCAACTGAAGAAGCGCTGAGCTTTCCCGGATAGAGCTGACCTGATGAGCTTGGCGTGCTGATGAGGAGAACTAGTCCAACCCTACAAAACAAACAGGAAGTAGTCTCTTGGGAGACTAACCGGGAGCCCGAGGTGGTCCCCGAGGGCACTCCGACGATCAAGTTAGTTTTCTAGTGAGTGAAGTTCACGGACAGTAAAGCAGTCGAGAGCAATGTGCCAATAGTGAGCGTACCTCGTGTAGTTGGTGTGCGTTACCATTTATACCTGCCCAGAGTCCGACCTCCGTACGTTTCGGGACTTGCCCGGTATGACCCCAATCCCGCGCTGAGGGGGATTCTCCCTGCCCTCTGCAGGATTGTTCCCTGGACCCTTCCGGAGCCCTAGTGGCGGTGTGTCCCAAGTCAATTGTCTGGGGCCTAGGGTCCAGGCCCAACTCTCCCCTTCCTGGGCTGCCACGTGTCTAGGTCCAGGACGGGGCCTCCGCAGTTGGAAACTTCAGCAATCTTTGGTTATCCACCTAAATGTGTTTGTGTGAAGTAACTCAAGCAAAATCTACCAACTCAACAACCAAAACCAAATTCAAAAACTTCAACCCATCCTTGTTAACATCACCTAAACACAATTGTCTATCCCAATACATCTAACAAAGTAATCGAACATAAAATGCAGCAAAACAACATGAGCGTTTGCAGCAACTTCATTCACCTCCCTCTAGTTTCACGAATGAAAGTAAGCTAATGGCTTTTGTCCTTGAGCTCCCATAAAAAAGGTTATAAACACAACATTGATGTTAAGCCACAAGATTTGACATGACAAAACGCAGACGAAAGAACAGCGAAAATGTAAAAGCTAAAGTTTCTTCCGAAATTCTGGTTTGAAAAAACTCTTGCAAAGGAAAAACCATTTCAATCACTTGCCCCTTATCCAGCACCGAGCCCAAACAACAGGATTGCCAAATACTCTTCTCTCTTCTCAACATAAAAGCTTTCAGATGTAAACACAAGATTCAGAAAGAAAGATCATGCAAACTGGAAATAAAATTTCTGCAATTTCGCTGTTATGGGATTCATACCAAACCTAGGTAACAAAACCCAAGCAAAACATCAAGTTTTCAGACCAAAACATGAAGATTATGGAGCCCCAAGCATCAAGATTCAATCTTGGTACATTTAATATCAAATTTGTGCCATAAAACCTGAGCTATCATCGCATAAGTAGGAAAAGTGACGCAAAAGAAGAGAATAACGCAGGCTAGATTCGAACAAGTTCTGCCAAGATTTAGACTTAAATGGGAAGAGTAAAGTGAACTACATCACCTTAAACGCTCTAGGAAGTTGAGATGATGCTGTAAACTTGAAGGGAGACGAACCCAAGCACTACAGCTATAAGCAGATATGCTTGGCGCAGATGATGCAAGAACTGCGACTTCAGCAGGTTTAGGCTTCGATTCAAGAGCGCTGCAGTGGCTTTTTCCAAAAACTTGTAACACAAAGATTCCTCCCCAAACACCATAGATTATCCAGATCAATTAAGGCATCCCAGAAGAGATCTCTTCAATGGAGAAAATCGCATCCCAAGGTGACGAAAATCCAGCTTGGTTCTAAAAGTTGTTTTTTGCAGAAGTTCTGTTTTCCTTCGTTTCTTTCTTTCCCCCTTTGTTTCCCCAGATTTTCTTCACTCTTCCCGTTCCTTCCTTTTTATTTTCTAGCCGTCAAGAATCCTTTTTTCCTCAACCCCGTAGCTGCCTTTCCCTTTTCCTCTCGGCTTAGCTTTCTTCTTTTTTTTTTCAGTTTCTCTGTAGCTTTCTTCTCCCTCGCTTAGGTTCTCCTCTCACGGCCTTTTCTTGCTCACTTGGTTTTCCTTTCTCTTGTTTTGGTTTGGCTTGAAGCCCTCAAGCTCTTGCCAGAACCTCTCGTTTCCTTTTTTTTTCTCGGCTACCCAAGGTTTCTTTCCCAACCTCCCTCTGCTCTCTCTAGTTTTCTTAGCCGCTGTTCATTCTATTCTCTCAACCCTCAGCCGTCACCCCCCCTCCTTGTTCTAAACCCTTAGCCGTCCTTTTTATATCAAACTCCAAACCTTAAAACCTCATCTCGATGGTTCATAGACAGCTTCAGGTCACCGTTTCTCTCTCAGCTGTAGACACCAATTTTTTTTAGCATAATTTACTATTTATTTCTTAGTTTTTATTTGTCGTGTTAAGTTTTATTCACTTTTTTAGTTTTTTTAGTTTTTATTTTTAAGTTTCTAACATAAAATTTGAAAAAAGAAGAAAATTGCTCACAAATTATCTTTATTTCTTTTAAATTCAATCTTTTAGCATTTTATTTATTTTTGTTTTAATTAATCTTAAAAAAAAAGGAATACGCGGTATGCAAGCTGCGTTTTGTCGCAGCTTGCAAGGGAGGATCGGGCAGCCCCTTGGATGCAAATACAGAAGAAGTTGCTAAGGGTTTAGGGTTGGAAGTTCCTGGTATAAAAAGAAAGAGATGCAAGAGAGAGAAGGGGGGAGGATTGACGGCTAAAAAAAAAAAACTGAGTTTTGAGAGAGTTGAGACCGAGAGATAGCAGAGAGGGAAAAAGAAAAGAAAGGGCAAGGTGGTGGCTGGAGGAAATAGATATTGAAAGAGAGATTTCTGAAAGAGTAGCGGCTGAACTGAGAAAATTCTGAGGAAGTGACGGCTAGAAACCAGGAAGAAAGGAGAAAAAGGCTAGGCAAGGCTGTGAGCTTGAGAGAGGAAAAGAAAGGAAGATTGCTGGAGGAGGTTGCGGACTGCTGAAGAAAGGCAAAACCAGAAGGGTTTCAACCGTAAGAACGAAAAGGGATTTGGGATTGGAAGGAAGCAATCGCGTCATCATCGTAGCTTTCTCCACTGACGTTTTGGCCGACTCATCCGAATTTTCTTTTCCCTACCCTTGATTGAGGTATTGTATTCTCCTTTTAAGGTTGAAAGCTTTCATCTTTAGTTGTTTGTTTGCATTTCTTGTTTGTTACTGGTTCTATTTTTTCCTTCAAAATGACTGGTTGGGCATCGACAAATATGGAGTTTGAGTAATGAGTCGGTATCCTGCATGTGTGTGTCTTTGGCCGGGAAAATTTGCAGAAAGCTTCAAACTTTGGTTGGCAGTTTGTTTTAGATTAAGTTTTTTTGAGGTAGAAATCTAGGTTTTTTTGTTTGAGTTTATAGTTTCTGATCATGTGAAGAATAAGAACAAAGCTAGAAAAATTGTAAGGTCCAAAACAACGATGCAAAGATCATAAACGAAGCAATAAGTAAATAAAAAGGAAAGGATTGCAAACCAATTAACTACCCAACTCCTCTTGAGCTTGCAGATTAATTGAAACAAGCTACTTCAAGTTGATGAATTACAATCACTCTTGTGTACAAAGGAAGGTTCACCTCCTCCTTGCCCCAAGCAGCACTCGGTCAAGCCAGGACGTTTTACTATCCCTCAGGACAACCCTCACAGAGCTACACTCATGAAAGATTCACTCAAAAATGAAAAGCTTACAATGAACCTCACACCACTAAGACTACAAATATTCTTTTTGGAGTATTTTCTCACTAAAATCTCTCTAGATCTTTTGTATCTTCAGTGTGCCAAAGTTGTTTGAAGTATCTGACCAACCACTATTTATATAGGACCAAGAAAGAGCCTCATTAAAGCTTCCAACGGATAGAAAGTAGCTGAACAGTCAACTAGCCGTTGGTAGTGTCGGACATCCGATAGCACTGTTTTATGCGTCCGACAGCAGGTAGCGAGTTTGAGAAATTTTTTTCAATTCTTTCGGACGTCCGATAGGCTGGTTTTCTGCGTCCGAAGGTATGATGTAAAACTGAGAATTTTTCTTCAATTCCTTAGGACGTCCGATAGGCTGGTTTTCTGCGTCCGAAGATACTCAATGGTTGTCGGACGTCCGATGCAGTCTTTTTGAGCGTCCGACAGCTTCATCATACTTTGTCTTCTTCCAATTGCACTTGTTCATGGAATCAAATAATTTCATAACTGAAAATATATCTTGAAGAAATATTAGTATCATCTATTTGTTTTGTAAACATCAAAAGATAGGGATCAAGATCAACAATCTCCCCCTTTTTGATGATGACAAAACAATGGATGGAAAGAAACAAAAATAAGTATAAGCTCCCCCTCAATCATTGCAATCAAAACTTTTAAGAGCCAAACTCATAATCTCATAATAACTCCCCCTTACACATTGCATCCATCTCTCCCCCTTTTTGTCATCATACGATGAGAGTAATAACCAGCAACCATAATCCAACAACAATAACAGAAAATTCAATATTTCAAACAAAAATAGAGAAATGATAGCAGAATTCAGCAATACCAACATACCAACTTATTACAGAGAAATTAGCAAATCATCGTTAGATCAGAATAGTTCTTTTCTCTCCCTTTTTGACATCA